AAAATGGATCGAATTATTTTGTTCACTTAGACAAAAACGTGTAGGGTATCGCAGAGATAATGTCACTCCTTACATGCATATCATGTGCTACCATGTTCCAGTATTTATTGAAAAATATGGCTATATTAAGCAATTTACAGGACAAGGCGTAGAAAAGAACAACGATGATGCGAAACGCACGGTGTTTCAGAAATCAAACAAATGGGACAGTGTAAAAGATGTTCTTTGTACAGAAAGTAGACAGTGGGATCTGAAGAACTGCCAACGTCAGAAGAATTGCTATACAAAAAGAAATCTTGAGTACTGGGATGAGACAATCAAGAGACAAAGGAAAGAACGGAGACAGCTTTCCAAGCCAATTGTTATTACTGCAGATGTCAATGCTACAGTTGATGCTGAAACTTGTTCAAGAGCTGATTACAGCAATTTTACTGTTTCTCAATTAAGACAAAAAGTGAGAGAAATGGGACTAAACCGACAAGGACTTGCTAAAATGAAGAAAAATGAACTAATAAATCTACTTCAATGTTAACTGAATGTACTGATATTGACTGTCAAAAGGTTGTTTTTTTGCTAACTTTATATGAGATATTGGTTTACAGTCGCGTAGCCAGCCCGACAATTTAGTCCTGCTATGCAAATTCAAAATTGTTATCATTATTTATTTCTTTGAAATTGATTGTTTTCACGAAATTATTTGAATACGAAATTATTTGCATAGCGGGACTAAATTGTTGGGCTGGCTACGCTACTGTTGGTTTAGCATTTTTGGTGCTACAATACTTACAATTAATTGATTGTTAATAAATCGATGGCACCAGTTCATTTGGTGTTATTTTGAAATTAATTTTTCTCGAGTATAAAACACTGTTTCCATTGGCAAAGTTCAAACTTTTATTGAGTCTAATGTTCAGTGGCAAAGCCAGACATTAAATCTAGGCAAGCTATGAAAATTTATAATTAATTCTATTATTGAAATTTACAGAAAGGCCTTGTTTGCAAAGTAGTAACAAAAAAAATTATTGGCACAGCATATCAAGTAGCTATGTCTAGCTTAGCCACTGTGAATAATTTCGAATGTACATGAATTAGCATCCAAATGCAACTTTAACAAAAGTTAAAGAAATCTTCTCGGTCAAAGCACAAGGTACTTCCACCATCCTTCCCCCTTTGCGTACAAAGCTTTTGCGGGAACGAGCAAGAAAATGTCTCATCTTGACAGGAAAGTTTATTTTAATTCCATCACCATGTTGATCAAACAAGCAATTCCAGTACTTGGGAAGACGGCATTTTGAAAAATCATTTTCTTCAAATAATATATACCCCCTCTGCTCAGCTTGTTTTCCTTTTCCAACAAACAAGAACTTGTAGACATCATGCCTAAAGTCTATAGAAATCCGTTGTTGAGGTCCCTTTCGTTTGAGGCAGCTCATAATCTCCCTCCATAAACGGTCCACGCAGTCAAGTACAACATCTTGTGAAGGATCAGGCTTTTCAAAATACCTAATAAAAAATTAATACAAGATTTAAATTGTATGCACTATAGAATTAAGCCTTTCTCAAACACTGTGTTACCTTGGACCTGTATGGAAAATTTCATTGTCAACTTTTCAATAAAAAACAGTTGTTTTAAAACAAATATCTCATCTTACTACACGCTTCTACGTTTTTTATAAATACATACCTCAACAACGCTGGAGAAAGATGTCCTTGAGGTTCCCAAGTGTTGTCAAATGAACTATAACCAGCCCATTTAACGAAGTACTTCCATCCCTTGAGTGAGGAAACAAAATATGGTGAGACTATTGATATTAATGCCATACAACTTGTCTACCTGGACTATAGTGTTGCACAAAAGTCCTGCATTTCATATTTTATTTAATACGAAAATTATATAACCACATGAGTGACATGACCCAAATTTTTACTGCTCTATTTCATACCTCTCTGTCTTTCCTGCGAGCAATCAAGCGGTCGACTTGATATATGCCAACTGTCCTTTGTTTTTTTCCTTTCATCGTACAGCAAATCAACTGAACTTATATAGTTTAAAACTTCATATGCAACGCCATTCCTCACACGAGTTTTACCAGAACGCACCGCCATCTTGTTTTAGAATCCTATTATCAGGCGCGAAGCCGCTGACTAGAGTGCGGGCGCGTAATGTCCCACATTTCTGGTAATGCCACATTATTTCTAGTGGTGTGACAGCTATCACTATCAGTGATCACTATTTGATCTACGGCATTCGTAAATTTAAAACTTTTAAACAGTCTCCACGGTTTATTGAATACCGGGATTTTAAACACTTCAATGAACAAGACTTTATGTGTAATCTAACATCGTTATCAAATTTGAATCTCATCCATTCTGATCCTAATAAATCTTGGACCATTTGGAAAAACAAATTCCTAGAGATTGTAAATATACATGCCCCGCTTAAAAGACGCAAAGTATCCAGTAAACAAATACCAAGGTTAACGAATGATCTTATTTTAAAAAAGCGGGAGAAGACCTATTTAAAACGCAAAGCAGTGTTATCAAAGTCTATGACTGACTGGTCCGACTACCGCCATGCAAGAAATTGTTATAATAAACTTGTGAAAGATACAATCCGCAGTCATTTTCAAAATAAATTACACAATAACCAAGGTGATCTTAAAAAAACCTGGAAAACGATTAATGAGTTAATTAATAAGTCTAAAAAAGAGAATACAGTTCTAGAAGTAAGAATTGATTCTGTTGAAATTACTGATCCGATAAACATCTCAAATGCATTTAATAAGCATTTTGTTGAAATGGGAGATAAACTTTCGAATGATATACCTCAATCAAATGTAACTCCTGAAAGTTATCTTAGCGACGTTCAAAATTCAGTAAATCAGTTAACCTGTTTTAGAGAAATTACAGAACCAGAAATATTAGGTTTACTTCAGGGATTGATTGCCTCTAAAGCATCCGGCATCGATGGAATTTCAGCCAAAATTTTGAAAATCGCAGCTCCAGCAATTACTCCATCCATTGTATCAATTTTTAATCAATCAATCGCAACTGGTATATTCCCATCTGATTGGAAAGTCGCTAGGGTAGCTCCAATACACAAAACAGGAGCTAAGCACGATATGGAAAATTACAGACCGATATCTGTTATTTCAATTATAGCGAAGATCATGGAGAAACTGATACATAATCAATTATATGACTATCTTATAGCTTCAAACCTACTAACAAATTCCCAACACGGCTTTGGACCATGTCATTCAACAACCACAGCTCTATTAGATATTACTAATAGATGGTACCAAAACATGGACGTAGGACAATTAAATGGAGTCGTATTTTTAGATTTAAAAAAGGCTTTTGACACTGTTGACCACGACATTCTTCTAGAAAAATTAAAAATTTATGGCATAAAAGGCATGGCACTCTGTTGGTTGCGATCATATCTATCAGACAGAATTCAATATTGTCAAATAAATGGTCACCTGTCAGACCCCCTAACCGTGAAGACCGGAATACCACAAGGCTCGGGATTAGGCCCATTATTGTTTTTTATCTATATTAATGATTGTCCAAAATGTTTAAGACACACTAGACCAGATATGTTTGCCGATGACACCCAAATTGCAACATCTAATAGCGATATCAATGTGATCTTAGAGAATCTTAACACAGATTTAATAAATGTTTCGACTTGGATGTCAGCTAATAAATTAACTTTGAACAATAAAAAAACGGAGTTCATGGTTATAGGTAGCAATAAGCGACTTGGCCAAATAGTCCAAGAACCCTCAATTTGTGTGAGAGGCAAAGAGATTAAAAAGGTTAATACAACCAAGTCGCTTGGCCTAATGATTGATGATACTTTATGCCGGTCGGCCCAAGTTGAAAAAATTACAAAAAAAGTTAACTCGGGACTCAGCATTATTAGAAGACTGCGGAATATTGTTGATTATAATACTTTAATAACTGTTTATAAATCAATAATCCAACCACACTTTGATTATTGCTCACAAGTTTGGGGTTGCCTAGGAAAGGTTTTATCAGATAAACTTCAGCGTCTCCAAAATAGAGCGTTTCGTATTATTACCCGTGAAGGATATGAAACGCGATCAAAAGATATTCTAATCAGGGCAGGATTTTCAGATCTGAAAACAAGAAGGGACAACAACTTGCTACATTAATGTATAAGATTAAACATAAAATGCTTCCAAACTACCTGCAGGATATTTTCATCAATACGCAAGAAGTCCATAATCATAACACTAGGCATAGTGAATTTAATTATACATTACCAATGCCAAATACTAATGCTATGCAAAAATCATTGGCCTACAGAGGTGCAGAGACTTGGAATGCTCTTCCAATTGACCTGAAGTCGTTAGGAAGTATAGCAACTTTTAAGAGTGGGGTAAAACAATGCAGATTGATATAATGTTAAGTTATAAAATTTTTTTATATTTATAGTAGTTAGCATGCACACGGCCTATTGGAAGATCACTTTTTTCTGGTTGTTTTTGTAAATAATATATTTTTAATATAATGTGAAATAGTACCGTGTTTAAATGAAGTTGAAGTTGAAGTTGAAGTTGAGTTTACCCATGCAAATGCATGCTTTTGTGTTAATTCGCTCGGCCTGAAAATACCATCAATCATTTCTTGCGTTATTTATAAAACTCATCTCATTTTTCCATTCAAGTTTCAAGCAACACAATTAATTGCGTAGTCAGTTTCGATGCTATTCATGGATAAATATAATACGTTTTTACAATAGGTATTAGCAGCAGGCATTTAAATTTCGTGATTTGCTTGTGAAAAAAGGATCCGGCTGAATAACAACAATAATTATTGAACTCGCGGTAAAAGTATCCGACTTTTAAAGTGACTCCCACCCAAGATTCTTATACTATAGAGAAATCATGAGCATATTAATAGTTTTTATATTATAGTTGAAATGTGTGCAACCTATCCAAATATGTGGCTACTGCATGTTTGTTGTGACGTTAATCTTCGCTCAAGTATGTTGCCTGTCAGGATTAAATACCGCTCTATTTTATGTATTTTGCCGATATTAAATTGGTACTATAATTTCTTTGTGTGCAAACGGGTTCTTAACCCTAAGGGTTCTTAATATATTGTTGTCTTATAAGATTAACGTCTGAGACTAAACATGTCGATTTGTACCTCTATGAAAACAATAAAGAATTGAGAAACTTACTTTTCATGTTCAGGGTATTGAACATATTCGCTATTTTGTGGTTTTTACCGCTTAGTCATACCAATGGTTTTGTTAAAACTGATTATATAATTATAAATTGACGTGAAAGTAACATACATGCAGCATCAAACCATCCTCCTGAAGGTATTTACATATTCCGAATACAGACGATTTTCTAGCAGTATAATTACACCAAAAGCTATACCGCTACCCTATACGATTTAGGGTCAATAACATCTCAAAAACATCTGACTGATTAAACTGTTGTCGACAGGCATCCAGTAGTGGCAATTTTTGTCAGGATCAGTTGAGGTCAGTCGTTGCTGGATTTTTAGTCAAGTTTTATCCGACAAAACAGCTCGGTCAGGTTGATCGCCAAGCGATATGCAACAACACATGCACAAGTTGTGGTTCAGTTTGGCTTTGTCAACCTGAGTCGTGTGTTTACGTATGGGGTATTTTCCCCGAGCCGGCGGCGCGAAGCGCCGTGCGAGGGTACTAATTCCCCCCGGCTATTTACACCCGGGGAAACGAAAGCATTAGCGGAGTCTAAAGTTCATCAAATATCGCGGGCGTGGGTGACCAACGGTGTTGAGTGGGTGGCAGTGAACTTGGGTGGTCATCCTCACTGATCTCAAAAATATGGCGGACTGTCATGGATAGCGAACACTGATTGGTCAAATTTAAAATTTGTTGTTGTATGACAAATGACGACTTCAACTGACAGATACTCCATGAAAATAATTTGCTTTTTACACTACAGTATTTTGTACGTTTGCAAAAAACTTTGACAGCTTTCAAAGCAATTTGTTCTACAAAAAAGTTTAATAAAACAATTACGGTATCAAATACCAATTGAAAAGATATGGAGCCAAATGAAGAGCGGCAAGGAAACGACAAGAAAGCCGAACGTCTAGCGAAAAGGAGGGAGCGAAGACGACAACGTTTGCTCGAGGAGACTGCTGAGGAAAGAGAAGCTCGACTGGGAAAGCGTAGAGAAGCATGGAAAAGACTGCTGAGTGAAGCGAAAGGTAAGAAAAGGCTTGTCTTCACAACGCTATGTAGTAATCTACTAATGTTACTGTAGCTATACGAGTTGAAGTATGATATTCGACCCTCTATATTCGACTGTTTCTTCACAATTTTCCAATAAAGAGTTTGTCAAGACACGCTCAAGTCAGTATAACCAGACTGTATTTTATTTATATCAGTTATCACAGCCACAGGCAATTTTATGCTGTCAAATACCGTCGGTTGCAACTAAAGGTGAACAGTTGCAGATAAAACATTCTCTATTCTCATTAAAAAGCCTGTAAGGGTTTCCAGTAGGTCTCTAGCCCAACACGTTCAGACCACACAAAGTTTTTTTTACTTATTATTGTACACATGGGAAACAACAATTAAGTGTTGTTGTTCTTGACAAACATTGGAGATTCTAATCACGCAAATGTTTTTATGAGCAACTGTTCATCGTTAGATCATAGTTAATAGAAATAATAAACATGGTTAGGAAGGCCGGCAAACTTCAAAGGCTTAGCGCTGCGATGTTGACGGGGTACTTCCGGTTGTAATCGGAGTGCACAGCTTGCAAAACAATGAGTGTCAGATGACATGTAGCCACTATGGGTTTTGGGTTATTCGACACTTAAGTGAGGAAACATACAGTTTGAATTGGGCAAATCTTGAAAAAAATGGACTCCGGTAGCGAAGAAGAAAGTGTTTTAGACGTTGGGGAAGAACAGTTATTTGAAGAGGACTTAGAAGTTGACGAATTCGCAGAAACATTGAAGCTAATCGAATCGAACGCCGAAGAAATTGACCAGCAATTGTTGGACGCGATCAGCGAGGTTGGTGGTAATATTGTTCAAATGCTACTATATTCCATTTT